CTCCTGGGCTTAAGTGACTCTCTTGCCTCAGCCTCCCAAGTAGCTGGGACTTTCATGATTAGTAGCTGTGATTCTCCTGCCACAATGCCTGGCTATTTTTTGTTTTAGCTGGCCCAGACCAGGTTCAAACCCACCAATCCCTTTGCATGTGGCTGGTGCCCTAACCACTGAGTTATGGGTGCTGAACCTCTATCATGCTCTTTGTGGTTTATTCCTTACTTCTCTCCTGGCCCTAGGAAATCACAGATTATTTTTATGTCACTTGAGATTCATTTGCCTTTTCTGGAATTTTATATAAGTAGAATAATATGCACTCTTTTATCTAACTTCCTTTACTTAATGATTTTGAGATTCATACAATTTTCTGCGCGTATCAGTTCATTACTTTTTAAAAATTATTTAAAGAGGTTAACAATACATGAGTGGATAAATAAAATGGGGTATATGTATACTATAGGGTACTACTCAGCCTTAAAAAATATGGTGATCTAGTATATCTTTTATTGTTACCTGTACAGAACTGGAGACCATTCTTCTAAGTGAAATATCACAAGAATGAAAAAACATCACATGTACTCAATACTAAATTGGAACTAGTTGATAAACACTGAGTGTACATATAGAAGTAAAACTTAATGGAAATCAAGTAGGTGGGGGGAGGGGTTGTGTAAATTCACACCTAACTGGTATAGTGCACACCTGGGGAAAGGGCACACTTATAGCTTTGTCTTAAAATGTACAAAAGCAAATTATTTAAGTAAAACATATAACATCCTCAAAGAATCCCTAAAATATGGAAACAAAAAATAATAATAACTTTAAGAGACTTATTCTGAGCTGGGTATGTGTAACCCATGGTCCAGAGAACATGGCCTCAAGAGGTCCTGAGAAAATGTGCCCCATTCATTAATTTTTATTTCTGAGTAGAATTCCATTGTATGTATTGTAGTATACAGTACATAGTTGAGAGACATTTGAATTGTTGCCTGGTTTTTACTATTGTGAATAAAGCTGCTATGAGTTCATACAAGTCTTTGTATGGATATATGTTTTTATTTCTCTGGAAATTTCTGGGTTGGATGATAAGCATATGTTTAACTTTTTAAGAAAACACCAAAGAAAATTCAGAAGTGGTTATATCCTTTGGCATTCCTACCTGTCACATGTGAGGGCATTATCACTATGTTTAATTTTACCCATTCCAATAGGTATAGTGATATCTCTTTGTGGATTTATTTATTTATTTAAGAGGCAAGGTCTCACTATGTCACTCAGGCTAGAGTGCAGTGGCATAATCATAGCTTACTGCAAACTTGGGCTCTTGGTTTCAAGCCATCCTCCTGCTTTGGCGTCCCAAAGTGCAGGATTTACAGGATGAGCCACCATGCCTGGCCTCATTGTGTTTTAATTTGCATTCCCCCAATGCTAATGATATTCACCATCTTTTCTTCTGTTTATTCACCATGTAGATACCTTCTTCAGTGAAACATCAATCTTGTCATTTGCAACATGAGTGGAACTGTAGGACATTATGTTAAGTGAAATGAGCCAAGAGAGACAGACAAATATTGCATATTCTTGTTCATATGTGAGAGCAAAAAAAAAAAAAAAAACTGATCTCTTAGAGGTAGAATAGAATGATGGCTACCAGGTAGGAAGAAGTAGTGGCAGTGGAGAGAAAGAGTAGTTGTTTAATATGTACAAAAATACAGTTAGATATAAGAGATAAGCACAATTGGGTAACTATCATTAATGATTTATTATGTATTTCAAAAGGAGAGTAGATTTTGAATGTTTCCAACCCAAAGAAATGATAAATGTTTGAGGCGTTGAACATCCTAGTTACTCAGATTTGGTCATTACATATTGTCTGCTTATATCGAAATATCACATGTATCCCATAAATGTGTGTAATTAGTTTGTATCTATACAAATTTTAAAATTATTTAAAAAACACCATTTATAACTTTGGCTTATTTTCTATTTGGATATATATTTTTAAATTAAGTTTGAGAATTCTTTGTATACAATTAACCCTAAACAACATGAGAGTTAGGGGCACTGTTGCCCAATGCAGTTGAAACTCCACATATAACTTTACACTTCCCCAAATCCTAACTATAATAGCTTACTATTGACTGGAAGCCTTAACAATAACAAAGACAGTTGAGTAACATACATTTTGTATGCTCTATGTATAATTCCTATATTATTATAATAAAGTAAGCTAGAGAAAAGAAAACATTATTAAGAAAATTATAAGGAAGAGGAAATATATTACTATTCACTAAGTAGAAGTGGACCATCATAAAGGTGTTCGTCCTTGTTGTCTTTGAGTAGGCTGAGGAGGAGGAAGAGGGGTTGGTCTTACCACAGCAGGTGACAGAGGCAGAGGGGGTGAAAGGAGAAGCAGAACACTTGTAATTTTTTTTTTTTTTTTGAGGCAGAGCCTCAAGCTGTCCCCCTGGGTAGAGTGCTGTGGCATCACAGCTCACAGCAACCTCCAACTCCTGGGCTCAAGTGAGTCTCTTGCCTCAGTCTCCCAAGTAGCTGGGACAACAGGCACCCACCACAAGCCTGGCTACTTTTTGGTTTCAGCCGTCATTGTTGTTTGGCGGGCGCAGGCTGGATTCGAACCTGCCACCTTAGGTGTATGTGGCTGGCGCGGAGCCAGCTCTTAAATGTCTTCAAGATCCATTTCTTCTTTTTTTTTTTTTGTCAGCATGTTGTATTTTTTTAAATTTATTATTTATTTATTTTTTATTGTTGAGGACTCATTGAGGGTACGAGATCCATTTCCTGTCACACTTCAACTGCCACCTTTTCTGTCTTGTCCACAATTCCCTTCATGATTTTCTTCTTTTTCTTTGCTTTTCTTTCTTTCTTTCTTTCTTTTTTTTTGAGACAGAGTCTAACTTTGTTGCCTTTGGTAGAGTGCTGTGGCATCACAGCTCACACAACCTCCAACCCTTGGGCTTAAGCAATTCTCTTGCCTCAGCCTCTCAAGTAGCTGGTACTACCCATGCCTGCCACAATTCCTGGCTACTTCTTCACTGTAGTTGTCATTGTTTGGCAGGCTCGGACTGGATTCAGACCTGCCAGCTCTGGTGCATGTGGCTGGCACCCTAGCGACTGAGCTACAGGCGCCAAGCCCCTTTACAATTTTCTTGATTGGCTCTGTTGTAAATCCTGTGGAGTCAGGCACGACATCTGGGCATAATTCTTTCAGGCAGGAATTTACATCATGCTTGACAGCTTCTAGGCCTTTTTCTACAACAACAATGGCATCTTCATTGGGGTACACCTTGCAGACTTTCCCAAAGTTCCATCAGAGTTCTCTTCTATAGCACTGACAGTCCTTTCCACAGAGTACTGTGTGTAATGAGGCTTAAAGGTTTTTACAGTCCTCTGATCTAGAGGCTGAACTAGAGACATTGTGTTTGGGGGAAGGAGACCACTTTGATGCCTTCAGTATTGAATTCACAGCGTTCTGGGTGACCAGGGGCATTGTCCAATATCAAAAGAACTTTGAAAGGCAGTTCCTTACTGGCAAGACAGGGAGGGACGAAGCATCAATGGAACCAATCTAGAAAAACAGTTCTTATCTAGACAGTTTTGCTGTATAACCAAAAGACCAGCTGCTGGTGTTTATCTTTTCCCTTTTAAAGGCTTAAGAGTCAGCAGCTTAATAGGAAAATGCAATTCTTTTTTTTTTTTTTTTTTGAGACAGGAGCCTCAAGCTGTCCCCCTGGGTAGAGCGCTGTGGCATCACAGCTCACAGCAACCTCCCACTCCTGGGCTCAAGCGAGTCTCCCGCCTCAGCCTCCCAAGTAGCTGAGACCACAGGTGCCTGCCACAACGCCCAGCTATTTTTTTTTTTTAGACAGAGCCTCAAGCTATCCCCCTGGGCAGAGTGCCATGGCATCACAGCTCACAGCAACCTCCAACTCCTGGGCTCAAGTGAGTCTCCAGCCTCAGCCTCCCAAGTAGCTGGGACTACAGGCACCCGCCACAATGCCCAGCCATTTTTTGGTTGCAGCTATCATTGTTGCTTGGCGGGTCCGGGCTGGGGATTCAAACCCGCCACCTTAGGTGTATGTGGCTGGTGCCGAGCCAATGCCCGGCTATTTTTTGGTTGCAGCCGTCATTGTTGTTTGGTGGGCCCGGGCCGGATTCGAACCTGCCACCTCGGGTGTACATGGCTGGCGCCTTAGCCACTTGAGCCACAGGTGCAGAGCCAGAAAATGCGATTCTGATCTTAAACTCAATTGTAGAGCTAGCACAGCCTTTCTTGCCTTAAATCCTGGGCTCACTTCTCTTCCTGACTAATATCCATTGTGACTTTCCCCTCCTCCCCTAAAAGGGCACTTTCATCTTCATTAAAAACCTGTTAGGCTGATATCCTTTCTGCTCAGTGATTTTCTTTTTCTTTTTTTTTTTTAAAGACAGGAGCCTCAAGCTGTCCCCCTGGGTAGAGTGCTGTGGCATCTCAGCTCACAGCAACCTCCAACTCCTGGGTTCAAGTGAGTCTCCTGTCTCAGCCTCCCAAGTAACTGGGACCACAGGCGTCCGCCACAACGCCCAGCTATTTTTTGGTTGCAGCCGTCATTGTTGTTTGGCGAGCCCGGGCTGGATTCGAACCTGCCACCTTGGGTGTACATGACTGGCGCCTTAGCCACTTAAGCCACAGGCACCGAGCCTCAGTGATTTTCTTAATGGGGTCTGTGGACTTGTCTGCTGCCTCTTGGTTGACGGAAGCTACTTTTTTTTTTTCTTTTGAGACAGTCTTATTTGGTTACTCTTGATAGAGTGCTGTGCCATCATAGCTCACAGCAAACCTCAAACTCTTGGGTTCAACTGATTCTCTTGCCTCAGCCTCCCAATTAGCTGGGACTACAGGCACCCGCCACAATGCCCAGCCATTTTTTAGAGATGGGGTCTCACTCTGGCTCAGGCTGGTCTCTATTCTGTGAGCTCGGGCAATCCACTCACCTTGGCCTCCCGGAGTGCTAGGATTACAGGCATAAGCTACTGCATGCAGCCTAGAAGCTACTTCTGTTTTGATAGTTTTTAAGCCAAACCTTTCCAACATTATCAACCTATCTTTTGCTGGTGTTAATTAAATTCTCTATCTTTAGATTCTTCACTTTTCTCTGCTTTGAGTTATATAATGACTTCACTTTTACTCAAATCATATTAGAATTTATAGGTATGCTTTTGTTATAGCAATTCTGCACCCACATAAAAGCTGCGTTTTTCAGTACAAGATAAAAGGACATTTTGCACAAATGCAAGTTTTTTGTGCCACTGCAGTGATGGCTTCACTAATTTCCTTTTCATTTTTTACGATGGTCTTTATGCTGAATTTGTCCTGAAATACCGAGCAGCCACAGCTGCAACTCTCAGTGTATGGTACATATCAAACAATTCTACTTTTCCTTGTAATGTCATGACTTTTCTCTGCTTCTTGGGAGCACTTTCAGCCTCACTAGTGGTACTTTGTGTAAGTTCCATGGTGTGATTCAGGATTTACAGGATTACACTAAGCAGCATGAAAAACACATGAGAGATCACTTTTTATTGCAATAAGGAATCTGCTAGAGAGAACGACTGCTTACATGGAGCTGATTAGCCTCAGAGGAAGTTTTAAGTGGATACTGGAAATACTTGAGCTCGCTGCAATAGCAACAGGAGATGGCTACAAAATTATTCCACTAGTACAAAATACAGTTACTATTCTTAATTATATAGTTAGGATGAAATTACTGTATCTTTGCATTTGTTTACATTTCTCTCAACTATGAATATATGGTCTACATGTGTTTATGTATTTAAGTTTTGGTAATTTTGTTTTTTTGAAATAGAGTCTTACTCTATCACCCCCGGCATCACAGCTCACAGCAACCTCAGAGTCTTGGGTTCAAGCAATCCTCCTCCCTCAACCTCTGGAATAGCTGAGATTACAGGCCCCCACCAAAATGCCTGATAGTTTTTCTATTATTAATAGAGATGGAGTCTCGCTCTTGCTTAGGCTGGTCTCAAACTCTTGAGCTCAAGCAATCTTCCTCCCTCAGCCTCCCAGAGTGCTAGGATTATAGGTGTGAGTCATCACACCCAAGCAAGTTTTGGTAAATTTTAACTTTTTTAGGAGTTTTGTATATATCATGGTAGCAAATGATGCAATTTTCTAGTATCTACATGTAGTCTATGCATTCATGACATACCTAACTTTTTCTTAATTTTTTCAATATTTCTAGGCTATATTGTTCACTTAGAGTTTTTTCAAATTGTCACAATTTTTTTCTCTTCTTTCTTTCTTTTTTTGAGACAAAGTCTCATTATGTCACCCTTGGTAGAGTGCCATGGTGTCATAGCTCAGCAACCTCAAACTCTTGGGCTTAAGAGCTTCTCTTGCCTCAGCTTCCCAAGTAGCTGGGACTACAGGCACCTGCCACAATATCCACTATTTTTGTTGTTCTTGTTGTTGTTATTGTAGTTGTCATTGTTGTTTTTAGCAGGCCCGGGCCAGATTCAAACCTGTCAACCCCAGCGTATGTGGCCGTCACCCTAACCACTGAGCTATGGGTGCCGAGCCTGTCACATATTTTCAAAAAGTATCCAATACATTTATTGGAAAAGATACGCTCATAGGTGGACCTGTCTAGGTCAAACCCATGTTTTCAAACTGGGGTCAACTGAAATACAGTAGGAAAGATAGTGTACAAATATTTTCTCCCATCTGCGGTTTGTTTTTTCACCCTTTTAACAGAGTCATTTATAGATCAGATGTTTTTTAATTTTGATGAGGTATAAGTTATCAGTTTTTCTTTTATTAATCATGCTTTGGGTTTCATTTCTAAGAACTCTTTGATCTGGTCTTGATCACTTTTCTTCTCTCCACTGCCAAGATGTACATTTTACATTTTACATTAAAATTTGAGATCCATTTTTAGTTAATCACATGCATACAGTTTTGTTTAGGTTTATTCTTTTGCCTGTGGATATCCAATTGCTCTAGCATTATTTGATGAAAGGTTATCCGTCTTCCACTTAATTTTTGCTGCACCTTCATCAAAAATCAGTCAGGCATATTTGTGTGAGTCTGTTCGGCTCTTGTTGCTCTACTATCACACTGTCCTGTTAATTAATGTTATATAGCAAGTTTTAACAGCTTCTGCTGATTGTTCGCATACGTACCATTGAATGCCTTCCTTTCCAAGGGAGCATAATATAAAAGCTACATTTTCACACAAATAATTGAAAATTGGCATATTTAGAAATTGATACCACCAGCTGGTTTTCTTATATTTCTCATCTAGATATGGTATCTTAGTACCTATAGAGCAAGTAATGCATTAAGAATTGTCTTTAGGCACATCTACATATAGTGTTTAACTCCCACTTGTATTTTTTCTTTCATTTTAGTTCTTTTACAAAGCTTCCTCATCTGGCAGGAACAGAGCAAAATTTACTGCTTGCCAAGAAAATCCAAACCCAGTGGAAGAAATTTGGACTAGACTCAGCCAAATTGGTTTATTATGATGTCCTCTTATCATACCCTAATGAGACAAATGCCAACTATATATCAATAGTGGATGAACGTGGAATGGAGGTGATAAGGAATTGTTGCTACTTTTTACATTTTATAATCCTACCCTCCTTTATGTGGATTTGAACATAGGGTCAACTAAAATAAATTTGTTAATAGTGCAATAGAATGCACATTTTTTGGGAAAAGTTGGTAAGTTATAAGCTATTGTTCGATATCTACAAAGCATTGGACATGGTATTAGGTCAGAATGAAAACTAGGACATGGTCCCTTTGCATCAGTAAGATGAGGCAAACAATGGAATATTTAAAATTTCAAATCGGTATGATAAGTGGTATTGAAGACTATGATTAGCGTTTTATATCTGCAAAGGAAAGGGTTACTCATGAGTTAGAAAGCTTTCTGAAACTGTTATACAAGGCATGAAAGACCATAAGGGGTTAACCACATGACAAAATAAGGTAAGAGATTTTAGGCAGAACACAAAATGTTGGCAAAGGCTTGGAGATGTATACTAGCTTAGTATTATTGTGAGAACTTACAGTTTTTCTTTTTCTTTCTTTTCTTTTTTTTTTTTGGTAGAGACAGAGTCTCACTTTATCACCCATGGTAGAGTGCTGTTGTGTCACAGCTCACAGCAACCTCCAGCTCTTGGGCTTAGGTGATTCTCTTGTCTCAGCCTCCCAAGAATCTGGGGCTACAGGCACCAGCCACAGCACCTGGCTATTTTTTGTTGCAGTTTGGCCAGGGCCAAGTTGGAACCCGCCACCCTTGGTATATGGGGCCGGCGCCCTACTCACTGAGCCACAGGTGCCGCCTAGAGAACTTAAAGTTTTTCTATATTTTTAGAGCATAAAATATAAAGTGGGCCATGATAAGAGATAAACCAGTAGATATGTTCTGGTTCAGATTTGTAGAAGAATTTATACACATATATGCTGTCCTAAAGAGATTAAACTTCAACTTTAGTCCATGGAAGCCATTGACAAGATCTTAGCAGGGAAGGATATGGGCGGAGAGGTATTTTAGATAGATTAGACAGTTTAGTCTGTAGCTTGTAGATTGTATCTAGCCTAGGCAAGCAATTAAAGTTGCAGACCAGGTAAAAGACAATGAACTCTTGAATTAGGTTGCCAGTAGAGATGAGGAGGTGGGATGGATCTGAGAAACAGGAAGTATATTAGCAGGACTTGATCCGTGATTGGGGGAAGGAGGTGGAAGACAGAGAGTTTAGGATGACACTAAGACTGTCTAGTGTGGGTGGGTAACTAGTGGAGCTATTAATAAACGTAGGAAATGCAGAACCAGAAGCAAGAATGGGGTGGTAAATGATAAATTTGAATTTTAACATGTTGAGTTTGTACATCCACACTGAAATAACCATAGGTTTTAAATATATGAATCTGAAACACTGAGCATGATAAGCATATTAAGTACTGGCAAAATTTTGATAATCAATGAAATCTCAGTATAGAGGCAAGCAGTGAGCTAGTGATAAAACATGGGGGAACATTATTTAAATTAAGATAAAAGAAATAGAACCCACAAAGGAAGCTGAAAAGGTATAATGAAAAAAGAAGAGTCACAAAAGTGCCATCTCTAAAGCCCTATTTTTGTACTTTACAAGGGAACTTTTAGTTACCTGGGGTTGTGGGCATTTATAAAACTTTCTGTTATTGTGAAGACATACTAATGGTAGAGCTCTTTCTTGTTGTCAGTGTAATTTACCTGTTTAATTATAGAACCTGGTTCAAGGATGCTTACTCTTGTGTACTTGAAGGCAAAATGAATTTTACCTTAATAATAATAATAATCTTGAATCATTCTCTCCAATTTGACATGTTTCAACACTTAACTAGATTTTTAACACATCGTATCTTGAACCACTACCAGATGGATATGAGAATGTTACAAATATTGTACCACCATATAATGCTTTCTCAGCTCAAGGCCTGCCAGAGGTAAAATAAAAGACATTTTTTTATCCAAGTATTTAAATGTTTCTTTGCTATATACAACCTATGCAGAGAACCAAAACCAAGGGGACTAGGTGAAACCCATGTGCTAATCCATTGTTTGTTGTACTATGAATACTTTGTCCTTGTGATTAAACATACTATTACTAATAAAACAGAAAACAACAACAGAAAAAGAAAAAAAATTCATTTTTTTAATAAACTTGAGGAAGTAAATGCCACTCTGAAATAACAAACTGCTGAATTTACCTTTAATTCAGTAAAAGCAATAGATATATATATATATTTTTTGAGACAGTGCCTCAAGCTGTCCCCCGGAGTAGAGTGCCGTGGCATTACAGCTCACAGCAACCTCCAACTCCTGGGCTCAAGCGAGTCTCCTGCCTCCGCCTCCCAAGTAGCTGGGACCACAGGCGCCCGCCACAACGCCCGGCTATTTTTTGGTTGCAGCTGTCATTGTTGTTTGGTGGGTCCGGGCTGGGGATTCGAACCCGCCACCTTAGGTGTACGTGGCTGGCGCCTTAGCTGTTGAGCTATAGGCGCCGAGCCAGCAATAGATATTTTTATGAGCTTCCTTTCATTGTTCACAATCTAAATTTTTTTATAGATTTGCAGATCTGATTTTATAGGTAATACCACAGAGTTCTTAAATTAATATCATGGTTAGAAATAAAAAATAGTTCGTATTTTTAATGGTGATTATTTATTGTTGTAGTGTTATATATATTGATAATTTCTTCAAAACAGCACACAGTTTAAATAAGTGTTATACACATGGGATGCCAAAAATGCAGTATCTGTGTGTTACATACTGTGTTACGTATATACTTTGAGCACCTCTTGTAATTGCAGAAGTCAAACACGACTTGTATTCATCTTTTGTTATTGGTATATATTATTATAATTTTAACAGTTTTTTTCTTCTGAAAATATGTATACTTTTTTGACACACTCTGTATTACCATTTTTTTAAACTTTTCTGGATTTCAAAAGACTCTGTAAAGACTTTTACAGAATTACATGAGTTTGTTTATTAATTCCAAATAAGGAAATGAAAATTTTGATGATTCAATATTGTGCCACAGATTTATTTTTTGGTTTTCGCTTTAGTTTTAGCTGTAATATGTAATTGTTTTCCTTTCTCTATAGGGAGATCTTGTATATGTTAACTATGCTCGTACTGAAGATTTTTTCAAATTAGAAAGAGAGATGAACATCAACTGCACCGGGAAGATAGTTATTGCAAGATACGGAAAAATCTTCAGAGGCAATAAAGTATGGTGCTATTTGTTTTTCTGGAGGGGATGAATGAAAGAGGATATATCCTGTAACTGTACATGACTGGCTTGCTTTATAGTTTTCAGAATTGCTTTTGGAATTTTTTATTCTCTTTTTTCCTTTTCTCTCTTTTTTTTGGTATTTGCCATGATGCACAGAAAATTTTGTTTTTTTGTTATCTTATATATCTGCATAAGAATATTATTTTTAATTTTTATTATAAAAGTAATATTTGGGTTCCTGTTCTTTCTAGATATTTCCTGTGAGCAAATTACCCTCTCTTTGGCAAAGTTTCCTCATATATAAAATGGGAATGCTGACAGTAGCTGTAATTTCATAGAATTTTTACTAGGGTTAAATGACTTTATGTTCGAAAGTGCTTAGGCTAATGGCTGGTGTTTAGTAATTTCCATGTAACTACTTACTGAATTTTTCACTTTAAATTGTAGCATAATATTTCACAGAATTGATGAGCAATTTATTTAGCTATTCCTTACTGATGGATGCTTGTCTTAAATTTGTAACTACTATAAATAATTCCCTTGTGTACTTCCTCAGCCATCTATACTTCAAACATATGTGTGAAGATTTCTGTAGTACAGATTTTTACATATTGAATGGCTGAATCATAGTGTATGTTCTTCCAAAATTTTGATAGGCATTATCAAATTATCCTTCAAAAACATGACAGATTATAGTCCCTTTGATACAGTATAGTTCTCTCTGAATATCGGAATGCATTTTAATGAATAAATACTTAATGGGTATCCATCTTTGCTATAATACTTTTGGTAATGAAGAATTAGTATTTCACAGGTTCAATTTTTCTTATTCTTGATGGTTTAGAGTGTTTACAAAAGCATTATGGGCAGTTTTTCACACACTAAGATTGCTCCGCATAAAATTTTAAATCCATTTAGTTCCACACATACTTGTAGAGTGCTTACTCTATGACATACAAGATTTTGGAAGGCAGTAGTTAAAATGAGTAGGCATGGTCCATGTTCTCAAAACACCATTAGTCTAGTGGGAGAGACAGACACTTAAAAGATATTTTAATACATTATTATCTATCCTGTAATAGAAATACATAGAAAATACAAAAGTACAAAGAAGAGGGACATTAAGGTTGAAGTTTGGGGGGTTTTAGGAAGGTTTCACAAAAGAAGTGATTAACTTATTTAGAATTTTGTAGAATAAATGGAAGTTTATTTCTACAAAGAGAGAATTGTATTCAAGGCCGAGAGAACTGAATGTGTAATGGTGTGATAGAAAATAGTGTCCAGGCTTGGTGCATGTGGCTCAAGTGGCTAAGGCACTAGCCACATACACCTAAGGTGGCGGGTTAGCCTGGGCCCACCAAACAACAATGACGGCTGCAACCAAAAAGTAGCCAGGCGTTGTGGCAGGTGCCTGTGGTCCCAGCTACTTGGGAGGAGGCTGAGGCAGGAGACTTGCTTGAGCCCAGGAGTTGAAGGTTGCTGTGAGCTGTGATGCCATATGGGGGACAGCTTAAGGCTCTGTCTCAAAAAAAAAAAAAAGAAAGAAAAGAAAAAGAAAGTAGTGTCTAATTTTTCTTATTTATTAAATTAATATTTTTTTATGTAAATATGTCAATAATTTGCAATTTCTGCATTATGGATTTCCTGTTGCCTCTGTAGGTTAAAAATGCAATGTTAGCAGGAGCCATAGGAATTATCTTATACTCAGATCCAGCTGACTACTTTGCCCCTGGGGTACAGCCATATCCCAAAGGATGGAATCTTCCTGGAACTGCAGCCCAGAGAGGAAATGTGTTAAATTTGAATGGTGCTGGTGACCCACTCACTCCAGGCTATCCTGCTAAAGGTAATAGATGAACTTGTTAATCTTCCATTTTTGCAAAAATATTCCTTGCCCTGTTAGATGGAACAAAAGCAAGGATCTACAAAATAGCATGAAAACTAATATAACTATGGCATACAGCTATATCATTTTGGATTATTATTGTTAGGAATTCAGGAGCATTCTTCTTGTATTACTTTGAGTATGGGGAGAGGATGCTTAGCTTACGTTCTCTATTTTCTTCAGCAGAGGTTCAGAAACACCGATCCTCATACTCAAAGTGATATTGCTCTTACAAAATTGGAATTTAGGTTTGCTGAGTTACCTAGAGATTTTAACCTTCTTTAGGTGAAACATTTTTTTTTCAATGCATTTTGCGTTATTTAAAAAGTAAAATGGAAAACTTTTAGGATATGGAAAATGATCTCCACCATCAAGATGGTGAACATTCTGTCCTCCCAAAATGTCTCCTCTTGTCTCCTTGTATTCCCTCCTTCCCAACTCTTCCTGCCTTCTACATGCCAATTCCTAAGTAACCAATGATGCTTTCTTCTGTGAGCATAATTATTTTGAGATCTATTTATGTTGACATCTGTGTCAATAGTTTCTCTTTTTTTCTCTCTCTTTTGCTGACTAGTATTTCATTGAATGGCTATAGCATCGTTTTTTTATTCATTTACCTGTCAATGAGCATCTGGGTTGTTTTCCATTTGAGGGCCATTACACATAAATGTGTTATAAACACTTGTGCAAGCCCTTTTTTCTTTAAAGAAAAATCTTTGTATTTTGGTACTTTTTAGTACTTTCTATTTTTAGTACTTTTCTTTTGCAAGTTCTTGCTCTGTTGCCTGGGCTACAGAGCAGTGGCATAATCGTAACTCACTTAAGCCTTGAACTCTGGGGCTCCAGTTGTATAAGTCTGTGTATGTACATATAATATTATTTCTCTTGAGTAAATACTTGGAAGTGGAGTGGCTGGATAATATGGTAGATGGATGATTAACTTTAAAAGAAATTTTCAAATTGTTTTCCAAAGTGGTTCTTTCATTTTATATTCTAATAGCAACGTATGCCTGTTCTAGTTGCTACGCCCTCACTAACATATAGTATGGCAATCTCTAAAATTCTGCACTCTAATATGTAAGTCCTTCCAATTATCACTCTTTCAGAATTGTTATGTCCCTTCTTGGTCCTTTCCATGTGAATTTTAGAAGCAGCTTGCTAATTTCTATGAAAAGTCTTCCTGTGAGTTTGACTTAGATAAAATGAAATCTTTAGATCAATTTGAGGAGATTTGACATTTAAAAAATATTGATTCTTCTGATCTGTGAACAAGATACAAGTCACTATTCTTTAATTTCTCTCAGCAATGTTTTATAGTTTTATCATATGAATTATGCATATTTTTTGTCAGTATATCTACAAACACTTCATGGTTTTATGTTATAAAATTTCAATTCTGATTTTTCATTACTAGTAAATATTAATAGAAACATTATTGTATTTCTACAGGAAATACATTGATCTTGTATCCTGCAAACTTTTTAGACTTACCAGTTAGTTCTGCTAGATTTTTGTAGACTCTATAAGAGTTTTTACATAGGTGATTGTGCCATTTACAAATAAGGACATTTTATTTCTTTGTTTCTAATCTGGATATATTTTATTACTTTTTCTTGCCCTCTTGTACTGGCTAGAACTTCCAGTACAATCTTGAACAGAAATTGTTAGAGCAGACATCTTTGCTTTTTCCATTCTCAGAAAGCATCAACTCATTCTCTGTTAAATATTATGCTAGCTCTAGGACTTTTTTTATAGAATCTTTTCCTAACACTAAGAAGGTTTACTTCTATCCTAAAGTGGTGAGAGTTTTTTTTTTTTTTTGTAGAGACAGAGTCTCACTTCGTTGCCCTTAGTAGAGTGCAGTGGCGTCACACAGCTCACAGCAACCTCCAACTCCTGGGCTTAGGCAGTTCTCTTGCCTCAGCCTCCCAAGTAGCTGGGACTACAGGTGCCTGCCACAACGCCTGGCTATTTTTTTGTTGCAGTTTGGCGGGGCCAGGTTTGAACTCGCCACCCTTGGTATATGGGGCCAGCGCCCTACCCACTGAGCCACAGGCGCTGTCCAAATGGTGAGAGTTTTAATCTAGAAAGTATATTGCATTTTGTTAAAGGTTTTTTTGTGTGCATACTGAGAAAATCATATGTTATTATTTACTTTTGTTAAATTATAGTAATTTATTTGAATGTTAAACCAACCCTGCTATCCTGAGATAAAATTTCTTTAGTGAGAATTTATTATCCTGTTGAATTTTTGCTGAATTTTTCTTAATATTTCTGTGTTCATAAGGGATCTTGGTCTGTATGTTTATTTTCTTGTATTATCTTTTTTTTTTTTGCAGTTTTTGACCAGGGCTGGGTTTGAACCCACCACCTCCGGTATAGGGGATCAGGGCCCTACTCCTTTGAGCCACAGATGCCACCCACAAATAGTTTCTTCTTCTTCTTTTTTTTTTTTTGGAGACAGAGCCTCAAGCTATCCCCCTGGATAGAGTGCTGTTGCATCACAGCTCATGGCAACCTCCAACTCCTAGGCTCAAGCGATTCTCCTGCCTCCGCTTCCTTAGTAGCTGGGATTACAGGCACCTGGCTATTTTTTGGTTGCAGCCATCATTGTTTGGCGGGCCAGAACTGGATTCTAACCCATCAGCTCAGGTGTATGTGGCTGGTGCCTTAAACTGCTTGAGCTACAGGTGCCAAGCCTTCTTGTGATATCTTTGATATCAGAGTAATGTTGGCCTCTTGGAATGAGTTGGAAACTGTTCTTTTCCTTTTTTCCTTTTTTTTTTTTTTTTTGCAGTTTTTGGCTGAGACTGGGTTTGAACCTGCCACCTCCGGCATATGGGGCTGGTGCCCTAGTTCTTTGAGCCACAGGCTCTGCCTGAAACTGTTCTTTTTCATCTTTCTGCAGGATTTTGTATGGGACAAGTTCAATTTTCTCTATATATGTTTGGTAGAATTACCCTGGAATCTAGCTGGGCCTAAAATTGTGTTTTTAGGATTGTTTTTCATCGCAAATTGAATTTCTTTAATAGATATATGGCTTTGCAGGTTACCTGTTTATTCTTCTTCTTCTTTTTTTTTTTTTTTTGAGACAGAGCCTCAAGCTGTCACCCTGGGTAGAGTGCAGTGGCATCACAGCTCACAGCAACCTCTAACTCCTGCGTCAGCCTCTCAAGTAGCTAGGACCACAGGCACCTGCCACAACACCCGGCTATTTTTTTTTTTTTTTTTTTGGTTGCAGCCATCATTGTTGTTTGGCGGCCCAGGCTGGATTTGAACCCGCCACCTTATGTGTATGTGGCTGGCGCCTTAGCCACTTGAACCACAGGCACCAAGCCAGTTACCTGTTTATTCCTGAGTGAGCTTTGATAGTTTATGTGTTTTGAGGATTTTTTCCCCTTCACATAAGTTATTGACTTTATGGGCACAGAAATGTTTGTAATATTTTCTTTTTCTTTGTTTTCAGGTGTTAAAGCAATATTTTCTCCTTTATTCCTAATATTGGAAATTTATGTCTGGTCTTTCTTTTTCTTGAGCTGTCTTACTAGCGACAAACATTTGTTAGTTTTCTTGATCTTTACAAAGAACCAGCTTTCGGTTTCATTGATTTTTCTCTATTATTTATTTATTTTTCTTCTCATTTCTTTTATTTATGCTTTGATCTTTTTTATGTCCTTTCTTCTGCATATTTGGCCTTCATTTATTCTTTTTCTAGTTTTTTTTTTGAGACACAGCCTCAAGCTGTCGCTCTGGGTAGAGTGTCATGGCATCACAGCTCACAGCAACCTCCAACTCCTGGGCTCAAGCAATTCTCCTGCCTTAGCCTCCCTAGTAGCTGGGATTCCAGGCACCCACCACAAAGCCTGGCTATTTTTATTCTTTTTGGTTGGAGCTGTCATTGTTTTTTGGCAGGCCCAGGCTGGATTCGAACCCACCAGCTCAGGTGTATGTGGCTGGCATCTTAGCCACTTGAGCCATAGGCGCTGGGCCTTTTTCTAGTTTTAAGTTAGAATCCAAAGTCATTTGTTTGAAGCCTTTCTCTTTTTTTCCTAAGACAGCTGATTTAGTCCTATTATTCTTTCTCTAAGCACTGCCATAATTGCTTCTTACAACTTTAAATGTATTGTATTTTATATTTTGTTAGCACCAAATATTTTCTAATATCCCTCTTCATTTCTACTTCTACCCACAGTTTATTTTTAAGTGTATTATTTAGTTTTCAAATACTTGGAGATTTTCTAAGTGTCTTTCTAATACTGATTTCTGATTTAATTCTACTACAGCCAAAGAACATGCTTTGTATGATTTTTACATTTTTTTGTCTTTTTGTAAAGGTCCAAACAAAACTATTTACATTTATTATGATGCGTTTTATGGCCCAGAATATGGTCTATCTTACATATTCTATATATACCTGAAACAATGTGTATTCTGCTGCTTGGAGGTGGAGCATTCTATAACTGGAAAAATAAAGTAAATTAGGTCAAATTAATTGTTAGTGTGACTCAAGACTTACCCATTTCAAAATTTTCTAATTGTATTGTAAAAATTTTTGTTACAACAATTCTCTTATAAAATAATTTAAATAA